TGCTCAGGAAGTGACTGGATGTGGCACTGAGTGCTACAGTGTAGTTAATGTGGTTGTGTTCAGTCAAAGGCTGGACTCAATCTTGGAGGTCTTCCCCAACCTTAACGATTTATGATTTAATACATATCATACATACAGACAGCTTCCAAATCCCAACCTGGGGACTTTTCACTAGATCACCACTTATTTCAGCGCTGAAATCCGAGTCCCAGTGAATCATTGTGAGTTTTACCCTGTAACATATACATTAATAACAGCTCTGATGATATATCCTATAAATTGCTGGTAGAAGCAAAATTTTTAAAAAATTGAAAGCTCACAAGAATGAATTATGAAAACACATGGAAAGGAGCCCAACCCCTCTGTTGTTCCCCATGGTCTCTATCTGCTCACTAGGAACCATATTCCCACTGATGGTATCAAACAGCAAACTCTCTCATCCTTCAGTGAAGACTATTTAAGCACTATCAAGTCATCAAAACAGCAAATCAGGAGACCTCATGTGAGTACTTGTTTTCTTCTCTTCTCATATTAGAAATCAGAAGCTATTCTGAAAGCTACTATAAACATCTCTATTGCCACTAATTTAGCTTGGCTAAAAAAAGATGCAGAAAGTCCTAAAATAATTTCCACAACCATTTTCTTGGCCTGAACATATTTATCATGTCAACTCTATTCTGACACTCAGAGCAGCTTTCACCTCAATACATATAAAATGAATCTTCATAAAAGCAATTGGCTAAATTTAGCAGCAAATTAAATATAAACGTTTATCCATGGCTTACATTTGTTTGTATTGATTGGCCACTGAAAACAGTGAATTTTACACTCCACAGGATAAAAAATGACAAGAAAAGCAATGGAGCATAAGAGAGTTTCCATACACAGAGACAGGATCTCATTATCATTTTAATGGAACAAGTCAAAGGTCACTGCTTCAGTGGTGACAAAGTAGGATACACATGATTTACACACTTTTTCCAAAAGTCTCCCATGTAGCTTCTAATCAATATCTTTAATTTGCAAGGCCCTTCAGGGTTGGTTTTATTTTAACATCCCACATATCCCTGAGTGCCACACAAATTTCTCATTTCTCTACACCTGCTTCCTTCAAATGGATTTACATTCACGCATAAACTTATCAGAAGGAAAACTGGGAAAGGAAGTTGCAACTTTTCCACTAACACTGCCTAATTCACTTCTTGAAATCTCAGCTGTGCAGCTGCCTCTCCCTTCCACCCATGCTGCACAGCCAGGGGAGGCTGCAGCCACTGGTTTTACAACTCATTTCTAATGTAAACAAATATTGAGAGCCCATTGACCTTTCATATCCCAGCATACTGCCTATCTGTGAAATGACAGCAACAGAAATTCCAGGTATGTCATAGAGATATGAAGGTAAAATAAAAGATTTTTTTCACAGCTCCTCTGAAATCATTAAGATTTTCAATACTGATATTGAAAAGAAAATAACATATTTGAAGTACACATCTGTTAAAACCTCAATAAAACTACAAGAGAAATTAATAGGTCTCCTTGTAACTTATCTCTCTGAAAATGTGTTTTTTGTATTATAATCATTATATGGTACTTTTAGATTAAACTACAAATATTCTTAAAAGAGAAAAGTGAGAGAAAACAGGAAAAGGATACCCTGAGAGCTGAACTCATCCTGATAAGCAAAATAGAATGGATGAGACCCAACTGGCCATTGTCTATGGTCTTCTTGCAAAGACAGGCCTTTCTCAAATGCTAAGTGTAACTGTGAAAGCTGTTGCCAAAAGATACATAACTGACATGCCTGCCCTGGTCAAGAAAGACAGTTTGTGTCTGTTTATAAAATGCTACAATAATCAAAGTAATCAAAGTAATACTCAAAGCTTAAACAGGAACATCCTTATACAACAAATATAGATGGACCCCATATTTTTCAATAAATGGACACCACATTTTTCAATAAAATTACACATTAGTTAGAGTCTAAATGTAACTTTTTTTTCAAGGACAGATATGAAAACTTTTTTGCCAAGATCTTCACTCTCCAAAAATCTGTGAACTGAGATGTTTCCCCTCATGCTGCACTTCACACCTCAGAGGAATTGCAGTGAACATGCAATATAATCCTTCTGTAAAACTGTTCATAAAAGTCCTTTTCCAACATTGTGCATGAAAACAGTTATAAAACTACTGCTGAGCCTATCACATCCTTGCTTGTTAGTTGTTGGGGGTTTTTTTGGTTGTTTTTTTTTTGGGGGGGAGGTTGGGGAGGGTTGGTTTTTTTTTGTTGTTGTTGTTTTTTTTGGGGGATTTTTTTGGTTTTTTTTTTTTTGTTTGTTTTTTTTTGTTTTTTTTTTTTTTAATACCCCATCTATATGTCTGCATCCATTGTTCATCCCTGGGCCTATACTTTTGATTACGAGCTTTTGGAGAGACTATTTGTTCAATTGCTGTGTACTCTGTACCACACTACATTCTGAGAGATTCTTCTAATACAAAGAATTCATAATAATGAAAAATGCCACCATTTCACTTGTTAAAAACATAGCAGCAAAAGGTGTAATGGTTAGAAAATGGAAATATATTTCTTCAAGAGCTGATGTTATCTTCAAGCAGAAGTTCAGCACATAAAGAACTACACCTGGGCCAAAATGTGGCAATACTCACATACATATGAATTTTGTGTCACATGATAGAATTCCTTGGCTGTTTACCAACACAGAATTAAAAAAAAAAATCTGTCCAAAGGTTATTAGAGAATATCATGTAAGATTGGAGATTTGCACCCTGTTAATGGTCATTTTTCTCTACTCTTACTTTTGTACTTCAAAGTGTACATGGTGTCCCTGAACATGGATACTGAAAAAATCCCCCTTACTGAACATTGTATATACCTCCTTTCATTCTGTGCATTTGCCAGGGATTATAACTTGATGCTGCTCTGACTTTACTCTCAGCCTCACTTGATAAGTCATATACAAATATTTTCCAAAATAACTATCAAAGTTATTGAAGACAGCATAATTTAAGGGGTTTTTAATAACCTCAGTCCTCAGTCATATGCAGACTTGAGCTTTTTTTACTTTAAAATAGGCTTTCCATGAAAAATATTAGTCTTTCAGGAGGAATTGCATCACCACTTTATCCCAAATCCTCAGAGATTAACAAAGGTAAACTCTTGGTTTTTCCATGGTGCTTTCTCAATTAATACAATAACAGATTTCAAAAAGTATATGGACATGAAAAAGAAAGTGCCATTTGCTTTTTAGAGACGCGGCTGATACTGCAAGCCCACTCTGCACTGGCAGACTGTGATTTGGGAGATCTTTCAAGAAGAACCACTCCCTAGATTTTAGCAAAGCTGGAACTGAGCAATAAAGCTACGGACTCACAGCTCCAGCTGGTTGGGTTGAGTGAGAGGCATCAGGAGAGGTTGGGAAATGGGCAGAGCTGTTCAAAAGCAGGTCCCAGCTTGTGCACATGCACCTGATCCATGCTTCTAGTGAGGGGAGAAGTAGGAAACAGTTGGTACAAACCAGTATGGTCTGACTTCCGTAACCAAGGGGCGAGTTTGGGAGCCTGTGTTGCTGGCTCCTACCTTGCTTTTCAGCAGCACCAAATCCAAATTTCTGTGCCTAACCCAAGTAGCTATCAGAAACCTGATGAATGCCTTTGGGCTGCACCCACACCCCCATATCAATATGCCAAAAAAATAACAGTTGCTGGACAGAAGCACCCTGAAGGGTAGAGCTGAACCTCAACTCTATTTGGTTTTTATTCTTCCCACTCATGGAGCAAAGAGTAATGGAAGAAGGCAGGAGGGGTGAGGGGAAGCAGGGTAGAAATGCAGCTCATTACCTTGATTCAATGTATCGCAACTCAGCGTCTTGAGTCATCACACTGTTTCTTTGTTTGCCTTTGAACTTACTGTAAAACTCCTACTTGCAGGCTTTTTAGACCTAGTGCAAAATATTTACGTGAGATCAGTATCACTAAGCTCACTAATATGGGTGAAAATATCTATTGAGTTACACATAGATGCAAAACTTTTCTGCAGAAGTTTCTGACAAGAACAATGCAGTATGAACCAGAGCATTATAACAGATGATATCCTACCCAGATTTTGCATAATTGTTTTTATACCACTTTCTTGTGAGTTTTTTAAATGTTAAAGCTCTCCTTAACTTAATGTAGTGGTGAAAATTCAAGGAAGTTAAAATTAGCAAGTTCCTCTCTAATTTAACAGGTCTGGAGGATTGATTAGTAATATCACTTCTCTCTGAGACTGACAGGTATGGTTATTGAATGCAGCAAGAATGAACTCCTGGCAGCTCATGAGGTCACTCTGTATATCAGTATTATCAGGTACTGTTAGCAGTCATTATAATAGTTTTGTGGCTTTATACAGATCACTCTTAGGTTTAAAACACGTTCTCAAATAAAATAGAGGAAATAATTTGTATGGACTGAAGCTAAAACCCAAAGAAGGCATGAAAATATGGCAGATGCAGTATTTTATTGCAGAAAAAAAAAGTAGGCAGTTTAAGCAGCAAGTAAATCCCCCTGGAGCGTGACGGGCCAGACACGGGAACCTGGGTGGGCAGTGGTGACCCCCTCTCCTCCCCGCTTCTTTCCCTGTTTCCCCTACAGCTGCAAAGGGGCCACAGGCGCGGCCCAGAGCACAATCCCCTGCGCTCTGTTTCTGCTGCCTGTTGTTGCGATGCCACAGCATCGCATGTTGTTGGATGACGAAGGCCAGCGGGGCGCGAGGCCGCGGGGACAGCCGGGCACCGCAGGCGCACGGGGAAACCCAGCGCGGCCGGGCCGCGGGCCGGGAGGGCTGAGCCGGGAGGGCTGAGCGCCCCCCGAGCGCCTGCCAGGGCCGCGGCGGGGGCTGCCGGTGGTCACCCACCCCCAGCCCGCCCGCGGCCGCCGGGACTCGGCGGAGCTGCCGGCGCGGCCCGCGGGGCGTGTCCCGGGCAGCCCCGCTCCGCCCCGGCCCGGCCCGGCGGGGCAGCGGCGGCGGACGGGGCAGGGCCGGGCCGGAGCCGCGCAGCGGCGGCAGCGCCATGGGGCTGGAGACGGAGAAAGTGGACACCCGCATCTTCATGGACGACGACGACAACTTCCCGCCGAGCGGCGGCCCCGCGCTGTCGGACGCGGAGAAGTGCGCGGAGGACGAGCTGGACCGCGACCCTCACGGGCTGAACTCCCACCTGCAGGTGCGGGCCGGGCCGGGCCGGACCGGGCCGGGGGGCGGGCGGGGCCGGGGCCGCGGCTCGGGCTCGGGAACTCGGCGAGGTGGGGTCCCCTGCGGGCTCCCCGCGCCCCAGCTCCCCGTCACGGTAGAGCCTTCTCTCGTTCCAGCTGGGGTTCGAGGATGTGATCGCGGAGCCCGAGCTCACCCACTCCTTCGACAAGGTCTGGATCTGCAGCCACGCTCTGTTTGAGCTCAGCAAGTACGTGATCTACAAGGTCCTGACTCTGGTCCTCGCCATACCGATGGCCCTGGTTGTGGGGATCGTCTTCGCGACTCTCAGCTGCCTGCACATCTGGTAAGGGCGTGATTTGTCCGGGCTCTGCCGACAGCTCCGCAGAATTCCTCTCCTCTAGCATTCATTACTGCTCAACCACCGGTCTCCGACTTTACATCGGTAGCCAGATCAGCTAATATTAACTGCTTTATTTCTAAAGGGACAGAAAAGGAAACACTGTGTTCTCTGTGATTCAGTTCCCTGCCTTGGTTTTACCAGCGGTCTGTCGTGACTACTTGGGGCAGAGAGTCTATATACCCGCTTGGACAGCAGCTACAGCAATGCATTCCAGCCTTGGCTGGCTTCTGGAGTTATAATAGTGCCTGAAGTGCAGAATTTGTCAAATCTGTATTTTAAATTAATTATCTAGGGAGAAATATTACTAACACCTAAAGTTATTACTAACTTCTTAGTAGCATTACCTCTTTCATTTTTTTCCTCACAGACTGAAGAAAGCTTTTGAGGGCCCAGCTGGCTCTGTGTTACTGCCATAAAATGCCAGTGCCTTGCATCTGGTGCATAGCTATCTCTAGATGCAGTGCCAAAGCCCTTCCACATAAACAAAAATCCCTGCTGAGCTCAGGAAAGCTGCTTCTGGCCATGGCACACGTTCACAGGCAAATACACTGGCCATGCAAGTCACACCAAACCTGTGTACTTTAAGCATAATATGCTCACAAACTATCAGGGAGAATATTTTGAGACCAGAAAGGGAGATGATGGTGGAGAAGGAAGAAAGGCAGGGAGAATAAGGAGGTTGAGGAAAGAACTGACAATCCAAAAGGCTGCAGAGGAAGAGATGAATGCAGATTATTGACATTTCTGCAGAGCAGGATTTTCCTTATACATGAGTTTTGGGCAAAGGCTAATTTGATTTGGGTAATACTGGAAGCCTTTTTATCAAGAAAAACAGCATACAGAAACTGGAAGTGAACTCAAAACCCTAGGAATACATTGATTATCTGAACTTGTGGTGGCAATTTCATGGGTGCAGATTTCAGTTTTTGAAAGTACAATGGAAGCTTGTGTTGATGACATTGTCATATCACTTTGAAAACTGATTAACTTGAATTTTGGAACATAGTGTTTGCATAATATCCAAAGGAGTTGCAGTGCAGCTTAGGGATGCCCACTTGCTTTATCTCTTGTTCCCAAATTGTTACAAACAAACAGTTCATAGGCATAGTGGTGCCCAGATTTTTAGATTTGTCAGCGGTCACTCTGCCATAGTGTGCAGTATGACTGCAAAAGGGTATGGTGAGTATATATAGGTTTCCAGTAGTGAAATATATGTGGAAAAATTCGTCAATGCCAAATTTATTAAATTTTCAGTACTGTTTTTGTGCTTCAGAAGGATCTTGTATCTGGATTTTACAGACTGGATACAGGGTTTCACTGATCCGGGACACAGAGGTCAGTTACTATTTATGCACATAGTCCCTAGTGACTATCTCAGGAACCGTGGGTTCTCAGCACATGTGAAATAGGACTGTCTGAATGTAGCACTTCCCTTGAAAAGTTTCTCTTGACTTTCTGTGAACACTTGCTTCCCCAACAAACCATTTGCTTTGCCTAGGTTTGTTGTCAACATAGAATTGATTTTTTGTTTTGATGTTCCTTGCACCTGGGTAGGATGTGAAAGAATCATAAAACTCAGCAGTGCTATCTGCATCCACTTGGACTCCATCCAGTGCTACCATCCAAAGGCAACACTGCCTCATATTCCCACAAACTCCCAAAAACAAGCTGGATTTGTTCCAACACAAAGGTGGAACACACTGAGACTAAGTTGGCATCTATAAGTTGGCGCCTCTTTGTGTTTCAAGATGTCATGCAAGTGAGGAGTTCAATGTTGCTGCATTTGAGAGGATAGTGCAAAAGCAGTGAACGTTTAGAGGCCCTCAATACAGGGTACTAGTTCCCCTGTAGGTCCATTGGGTCTGAAAGAAAAAGTAACTCCTTGTTTTGTACATAAAACAAAGGGAATTCCATTATAACTGTCTTCAGCTGTTTAAATGTCATGGGAATACCCTGGGGCAAACCCTCCCAGAAGCCTGCCACTCAGTCTCTGTGCTTCACTTTTGTCATCCTTTTCTGCGGCTAAATTAAAAAGTGTTTCAACCACTTCTGGAGGTGCAAAGCAGAAAGCTCTGTTGGTGTGACATGTTGTTGCAGTTTCATCAGCATGTTAAAAATCCACATAAGTGTAACTCAGCATTTCTCACACTCAAGGGCGCCTTGTGAATTGCCCCCATCACACCTCATAGTAAATGTTGTCTTTCATCTGCAAAAAGACAGATAAGTAAGAAATATATAGTAATACACCTAGTTTTCATTTTCAACCATGAAGATGGAGCATATTGTGTTCCCAGACTGGCTGCTTGAGCAGAAGCTGGTTTCACACTACCTGGTAAAAGATACTGATGGGCTGAAACTGGGCCAGCTAGCAGGCTGGTGATCCACATACAAGCCAGTTCAAGGAAGTCAACTTCACATTATTCCTTTATTGATGACTGTCATTCTCACCAGACCATACAGGCCACACTGAGTTGTAACATCTTCCTGTGAAATTAGCAAGCTTTTAAATATGTCCTCAGATTGTAGCTCTTAAGGTTACTGACTTTTGAATATGAACAGAACACTTCTGGTTTTTTAGGCGGCTCATGCAAAATTTCTGTATTTCTTGTAGATCAGTGACTGATTCTTGTTCCAAGCCACATGTTTGCCTCCTCTTGGAAATCAGCACTTGAATTTCATATATGCTTTTTTCTAGTCTTATCAGAATAGTGTTCTGGTACATTGCATATTTACACTAAGAATCAGTGATCGATAGACTTGTGTCAGTGAAGACTTGAGTCCTGGATCTGAGATGTGCTCATTGTGCTCTACACATCATTGACTACAGCAGTATGTATTCACAGCACTTCTCTGCTTGAGCTTCTATTCACAGTGCTGAGATACAGCCAGGGACTTACATGAAAAGCAGATATGGACATGCATTATTTCTTACCTTTTTGTATTCCACAACTTCATTTTCATAACTGCTGCTATCATACTCGACCATAAAACCATGTCCCTACTGACTGCTTGAAATCTAAATAAATTATACTACAGCTAGGTTAGTTTAGGGAAAGGAAGTATGTGGATATTGTCTTACTTCTTTTGTAGTAGTTTTATCTTTTCCAGTCTACTCATGTCCTGGAATACATAATATTTTATTTTAATTCACTTCCAAATACTGTGTATGAGTTGTGAAAGGCTTTGGTGGTTATCTGTTGCCTCACTTGTCCCAGTGGTTAATGGCATGCAACAAGAAGCTGTACAACTCATAGGTAACTTCTAGCCATCTTTTCACAATGTTTGCTTGTATTTTAGAGCTATACAAGATTTTAATTCACAATCATGTTGTAGTACATGGAGTTAGGTAATTTAAGCACAGAAACATAGAGCATTTGAAAAACATTATGACGTATCTCAGTATCTTAAGTGTTAAGTATGAGATTCCATTTTGAAAAACATTACAGGAGAAGGTGTGATTCTTTACTTTGAAGCTGGAATCTGAATTAATGGTGCATGACTACTCTATTGTTGCCCAAGTCTGTAAAAAGTTGATTCTCATTATCAGTGGGAATTAAACTGTGCTCTGCCATTTCCAAGAAGTGTTTGGTTCTTGACAGTGTTTGTTCATGGCTTAGCAAGAAGAAGAAGTAACATGAGCGAGAGTGAGATACGTTGAGGGTTATAGTTTTGTAGATGTCATGCCTTGAACAGAAAAAATAAAATAGGACAGAAAAAAATGGGGTAATTGGCACTTTTCAGTTCAACAGTGTGCAAAAGACATGATTCATCCCACTTGGTCAAAGGAGGAGTATTTTATTTTATATATATATTCAGTGAGAGGTCATATAGGTAGCTGTCTTCAGCCTAGATGACAAATTCAACAGACCTTTCATTTTCTTCCTAATGCTGTACGATATGGTAACACTGGTAGTACCAATATGGCATCAGTGTTGATATCCTCGGGATATGCAACTTAAATTTTACTGTTAGACATTACTCAAGCAGGTAGCTACCATGTCTGTGAACAAAAGTGCAGACCAGAATAAATCCACAGCAAAGGATGGGTACATTATATTTGTCAGGTCATAGAAACAAATATATGGCTTCTCATGGCATTTGATTATTTATTTTTAAGTGTGACTGGTCACTCCAAGGAAAGCACATTACGCCCTCTGATAACTTGGAAATATTGCACTGTCAGATAAGGTATCCTCTGCAGGACGGGATGCAGACTTGAAGAAATGTAAATACACACTCACAAAATGTAAAACTTTGAAAATACCTTTTATTACTCTCCTTGGTGTAAAGGATTTTCTTCTCTGATGAAAGAGGTTTGAGTAATTGTTCTATAAGTAGATGGACCTTTATTGTAAAATTGAAAGTTATTTACATTAATTAACTTTGGTTGCTATTATGTCTCATGTATCCTCCTATGGATTTAGCCTACGTTGGGTTTTGTGTGCATTTACCATAAATAAAAAAAATTGATAACAGGTGCTAAACGATTATAAAACACTACCAAAACACTTTAATGTTTATTTTCCTTAAGATTATCAAAGTAGTTTGAGTTCCAGTACTGTGTGAATGACCTCTACAGCAATTTCAAGTACTATGATCATTGCTTTTCCAGTCTTCTACATCTTTCTGTAAATCTTCTGCATACTGTTTTATTTGTTTTATTTGTATTTTGTGTGATCCTGTCACTAGAGGTTCAAAAGTAATGTCTTTTCTGCTTCTCTCCAGTTCAGTTAGATTTTTTAAAAAAACAGACCAAATGAATTGTAGATGATACCAATGGAGCAATTACATTGTCTTTATAAACTATGGAAAAGAGGTGAACTCAGCACAAACAGAATAGTGATTTCTGGTGCTTTCCCTGTGTTGCTTGGAAAAATAGCAATTTTTTTCCTTTGCATTATTGATGTTTATCAGCTGTATTCTAATAGGTTAAGGCCTAATTTTTTACTCTATAAATAATCTATTTTATATGCAGTGACATTATAGGTGGTTATAAACACATGGTTTACAGGGTTCAGTTTAAAACTAGAGGCACAATTTTCCAGTGGTAATCACAGTCCTATATGGGGTGTTTCAGCAGAGACAAAAGAGAAGGTTTTAGAAAAACTATTCTTGTTTAAATCCATCTGTGCTAGCTTTGAGTAGAGCATTGATATACTAGTATATGGCTTGCATTGTAGGACAAAAGCTGTTAGATAAATACTGAAAGTAATTAATTTTGATTCTGTACATTTCTAACCTTATATTTTTTTTAAACATGGTAGGGTTTTTTTGTACTTTGTTAATCTGAGGAGTATGCATAGTAAATACACAACACCTTTTTTTTCAGACTTATGATGAAATATTAAATTAGGTATTTTCTGTCATTCCAATAAAAGTCAGTGAAGGTTCTGCAGTGGAATTATGCAAATACAAGACTGGGAACTTAAATTTTGAATCCCACAGTAAAGTAGAACAGAGTTTATTATCATTGTCAAAAGAATCTATAGCTTCTTTTACCTAATTTAGGAAGTAAACATGTTAAGTATGGCAGAGAGATTTTTTTAAAATCTTGCTCTAGTAGACCTTCAGTGTTATTTATGTATACATTTCATTTGTCTGCACCCAAATAAGAACAGCTTAGGGAAGTGACCAGAGGTTTAGGCCAGTAAATGATCAAGGAAGAAGAATAACTTAAAATATTGTGGTCAGTTGTCATGTATCCACTGGCCCTCCTGAGCTGCCCATATGTGTATTTCTGGCTCTCTTCCACTGTTGGCATGCTTGGCTCAAGGCACCATTAATGACATTGCTTTGGAATTGGCACACATGGAGAGCAATCCCCAGATGCTTACCAACGCTCAGGAGACAAAAGCACAGTATTTTCTAGTATGCATCCTGGGTGAATAAAAAGATTTTATCCCCTGACAAGGAGTTCTGACCATATTCTAATGTTAATTTCTCACTCACAAATTAAGAACTTTACAGGATCAGCCCATTTTTTTGAGATGTGGCGTGTACCTGTATTCTAATAATCTAATGTAACTGGATATTGCCTCCCTGTTTCTGTTTTACTGTAGCACTGTAACAGGAATGGGTAGGAATGAGACACCAATGGTGTGATGTGCATGTGTGCCCATGCACTTGTGTGTGCCTGTGAGACAGACAGATAAAGGAGACAGCAGAAGAGGCAGCAGAGCAAGAGCAGATTGCAAAGGGTGTTGTTTCCAGAAAATGAAACTGGGGAACATGGTGTTTCTGTCAACCCCTAAAGACCCACATTCACATATGACCACAGCACAAGTGAGTCCTTAGGAGATGACTGCTCTTCAGCCACGGTGGGTCAGGGCAGGGCTATGTCAGATCATGCACACCAGCCCTGCCAGGAGCAGGGAGAGACAGCAAAAGTTCATCATTCCAAATGGCATGTAAAGAAATTGCCAGTTAGTAAACAGAGACACAATGAAAAGAAAGCCAATGTCTGCACACTCGTGTTGCATACAAATTATTCTGGCCAGAGGACCACATGCATATGCAGGTGTGAGGCCTTGAGCAAACAAAATAGATGGAGAATGTCTGCAAGAGAGTAGAGTCAACTTGCTTAGATATTTATATTACGAGGTTATAAAAGGTAAAGAACCACTTCTCTTCCATAAGATGTCACACGTGTGTTTCAATATCCTGATTTCCCCATGCTGTAGCAGCACCAATCTTCAAATTTTTCATTTTTTCTTTTACAGGGTTGTGGTGCCTTTTGTGAAAACCTGTCTCATGGTCCTGCCTTCAGTGCAAACTGTATGGAAGAGCCTGACAGATGTTTTTGTTGTACCATTCTTTCAGAGCCTAGGCCGGTGCTTTGCCATGGTTAACATACGCCTGGACCAAGAGTAAACATCTGAGATGTGACACTGCTGTAGTTCTAGCTGGTGTTATACTTCTTTGCTAACCTTACATACAAGCACTTACCATTCATTCCAAACTGTTAAATTACAATGGCTGGTTTAAGTGGGAACATGCTGTTTTTATTAAAACTCATTTATTATCAGGGAGATCCATTTAAGAATTAGTAGGCAGTTTTCATAGCTCACTATTTTAACAACAGAGTGATCATGGAGTATATTGGCAACACTTTATTTTAATGGCAGGTTGATTGGTAGATTACAGGAGAATTCTCATGCAGGACTAAAAGTACCCACTGTGATAATGAGTGGTGTTCTTACTATAAATAAATAAATGAATCGGCTGTGATACCTTAGCCAAAACTGATCTCTGGTGTTTCACACTGACTGCAGTAAGCAGTTCCACCAGGGATCATTTTTGGCCTCACTATACAGAATGATAAACCCAGTCCTCTGTTATCAGCAGTTAAAGTGAATGTGACTCATTGCATAAACATACAGGGAAAGGAGCTGTTGTGTAATTCTCCTATATTGGGGGGGAGGATGAGGGGGGAAAGGGGGAAGCTCCCTAGAAGTTTGTCCCTTAAAATAAGGTGTTAGCTAATGATCTGTAACATTAGCTAATCTGTATATTTTATTTAATGAGAGATTAACTTTGTTGTATATTTTGTACCTTTGTAAATGACAGTTGATCAGGTTTCTATGAAGCATAGCTTGAATTCTAACCAACTTATTAAGCAGCAAGAGTGAGACACTGCAAAAATTATTTTAGATAACTAAAATTTTTGTTTTCTAAATTAAGTAGATTTTGAGTGTTGCTGTGCAATTCTAATATATTAATTATATATATGATTGTGTGTAAAAGCAAAGATTATAAGTGTTTTTATACACAATTGTGCAAAAGACTTGGAAATATCTGTTTATGAGAAATGGTTTTTATTAAAAATTTGGTGTAATAAATGCTACCCTGCCTCTTTCTGTATATTATTGGTGGGAACATTGTGATATTTAAAGCGATAGACATTATGCTAGCACTTTAACTAGGTAGCAAGCTCTTACAGAAGGCAAATGAGGGTACTTGGTATCCTTGTCTAATTCTCCTAACTATTGACTTGACTCTCTGTGTTGCTTATTTACTATTTCAAAGCCTTACCCCTGAAAAGGACATTTTTTCTTTCTGCATATCTAATATGACTTTTTAAACCAGAATAACAGAAAATGTGCAGAGGTACATTAAAATTAAATTAGCCTTCTGGTGGGCTTATGCTGCTGTTTTATTTAAATGCGGATGGTAAGTTGCAACTGTAAAATGTTTGTATGATTTAGAATGTTATTTTCTAAAATGTCTCAAATTTCTTATCAAACAAGATGTATCTAATAAAATAACAAAATGTCCGCTGTTTCCTATTTTCAACTTCATTTCTTTTCAGATTTTTCAGTATTTAAACAAACCCTTTAAATGCCAAACACCATAGAATATTGTGCAGTTCTTCCAAAATATCCGAGAGGTAAGGAAATGGATGAGTATCAATATAGTTCCCCTATTATTAACTGCATTTAATGTATTTATAGTAGAAAATGACATATCTCTGTGTGCAACTAAGCCCATACAGAATGATTGCTATCTCTGCAGAATTTCAGCAACATTCAAAATAATGCTTAATTGTTTTTTCAGGCTCACACTTTCTTTATAGATGAGCTGCAGAATTTTCCTTTTCTTGTCTGTTGGCCTATTAAAGCTAGCTGGATATTCTTTGTATATTAAGAACATCTTTGTATATTAAAAGTATTTTTAGCATTTGTGCCATTTAGAAAGGGATTCACATGGCTTTAAGAAACTGGATCTTAATGTGAGTGCCTATGGAAACTGCTCTTGTTCTTCTTCATTCTGCAATAAGCTAGCTTGTTTTTCAAATGTGTTCTTCAAAATACCTTTCTTGTGTTAAAAATGGAAATAGCTCTTTTGAAAATAAAAATTGGCCAGGCTAGGCTTGAACTCTTTTGAGAGTTATTTTCTTTTACAGCGTCCAAGGACTTTTACAAAGATATTTTCCACTGAAAAAATATCCCCTTGATGAATTCATTTAAAAGAGAAAAAGAAAATAAATCCATCAGTACTAGCTCTTGTGTCTAAAAGGAGCCCTATAAAAGCCTAAGCTTTGAAGGAACCCAAGTCTGCGTTTTAAGTTTTGAGAATGAGGCCATTCCCCAGAGAAAGATGTATCATTTTATGGAATGCATGCCTGGATATATGCATTCTTAAATAGCTTACTGAAGTCAAATGGCTCTAGCTACCACAATTAAGTAGAATGGTTTGGTTTGTTCTTATTTTGATTTAGGCTTGTCATTGATTAGTTCTTTTCACCATTTCTCTAGCCTCTACAAGACTGAAGCAAACTTGTAATTAAAGCTCTTAGTTTCTTAAATATTCTCTGGAACAGGTGTGCCTTTACTATAAGAAAATAAAAAGTGCACTCTCAGATTTTGGGTAAAATATTAGATGCTTGGCAAATACTTTGTAAAAGGAGTGGAAGAAAGTAGCAATATTTACAGACTTTCCAATATTCAGCTGTGAGTTTGCCCCAGGCAACTCTGGCTGGCAAGTATTCTCAGGGTTTTATGGTTCTGACATACATCCTGAAGGTCTGGCACAGCATATACTGTGAATACCTCACAGTGCTGTTGGACAACAGGGACTGAATGGGAACTAGCTCTGAATTGTGTTCTAAGATGTGGGAGCAGGTTTGTCTCCAATGTGTTTGAAATGTGGACAAACTGTCCCAGCTGATCCTTAAAAGCAACTTAAAAATGAGAATTTAGGCAGGAGAGTCCAGAAACTGAGTCTCATTGTCTGCAACAAATGTAAGAAAATTTACACTAGATTCAGATTACTTTGATGAATCTTCGTGTCTGTGGAATGGGGAAAATGTAACAAGAGTAGATTTCCCAGCATGATGGTAGAGGCATTACAAATAATAAGTGTGAGGTGTTAGGATTTCAGCCTGTCTCTTGTTACTGCAGACCTTAGGTCTACAACCATGAGCTGGAAACTCAGTTCTGACTTGCAATATATTTCAGCATCTTGTTTTTCATGAAGATCACAACTAACATACAGAGCTCACCCTGGATTTGTGTTTATGGATTTCTTAATTTAAATTAATGGACAAGTTTAACCTGCTTACTTACGAGAGCTGTTTCCTAAAATGCTCCTAATCTGATTCTGGAACTTTTATATTTGTATCTTATATTTCACCACCCTAGTAGTCCATTGTATAAATTGAAACAAATTCTTAACAGAAACTTTCATGTATTAGTAAATGAAGAGTCTGTTCCCACCTTTCCGAAAAGTTCACTTAAGCATTCACTGACTAAAAAGTTCAGAACATCCCTGCAGCTCTGGGACCTCAGACCACACACTCTTATAAAGTGGAAGCCAAAGAATGATAAGTCCTTTATTTTTACAGGGTGTGATCATTCCCCCACCTGCAGAGATAAAACTATTGCTGTTATTAACTCTTTTTAAAAAACATGGAAAAATACATCTGTTTGGGTTTTTTTAAAATAAAAATGCAAATGGAACAAGGTCAAACACCAGACACTTTACCAGTGTTGTCTGTTGTCTGTGCTGGTGAAAATTAGAGTTGAACTGCTGGTTCAGTATCTCTGACCCAGCAGTTAGGCATTAAAATTGGAGGTACTTTCTTCATGCAGGGATTTACAAATTAGGCTAATTAATAAAGGCTAACCATATCTTGGTTACACTAATCTTCCTAAGCTTATTGTAACAAAAGGAAAACATCTTCTGAGGGGCAATTCAGAGGAGCTAAGATAGGTTCCTGCTTTGAATCATCCTCCAGAGAAAAGAGTCTGTACTGATTAATGCAAAATGTTGGGCAGGGCTGGGCTTGGCTTGGCTTCTTTGCTGTGCTACATAAAAAGTTGTATTTGCTGCAGAAATTGGGAAGGCCGATTGAAGCAACTAGAGTTTCATAAAATAGTAGTGAGGCAGGTTCTTCTCCACACACTTCTCTCACAACTTGATGCCAGGGGTGAGTGTCACATGTGTCAGATGTTCAGTTTTGGCTGTTGTATTGCTTTCCCTTCCAATTGTAAGTGGGAGAAAGAAGGACTCCTTCATATAGCACTGATTCAGACCCTACTTAAGACACTCAGGATAAAATATAGAGATTCACTTTTATTTCAAACCTTGAGGAAAGCTTGTCTATTTTTCCAACAGTCTCAGCTCAATAAGAGCTGCCTTTTCACCCTATGTACCTGATTTTGCTTTTTTATTTTACAGTATTAGAGCTATCACAATGATATCAGCTAGGGTTTTACCCAGGCAATGCTTAGGTAGAGAAGCAGTGACAAAAAGCCCATCCTACATAAGCCTTAAGGAGTGGGTAGTTAAGTCCCATTAATGAGACAAGTTCTCATAGTCTGACATTTTCTATAAAACACATGAACATTTAATAATACTGTAGAATTAGAAGAATGGTACAGACCAGCATTGACATAGACCACTGTTCATAGACCAGCTCAGTTTCCAAGATATTTGATACTGAAAAGGGTTGAGAATGAGGGACTTAGTTTGCAGTCTTGCAGAATTAAAGCTTTCTATCTATTTGCCTCTCCATCAAGGCAGTTACAAGCTATCTTGATAAAGACCTACAGGGGCTCGCTCTAATAAAAGACTGAGAGCAGAAAAAAACATGCATTTTGATCTGAAACTGTAATCCCTGCCCAGCTGCCACCCACCTGGAACATGTCTGAACTCAAAAGGCACCTCCCTTTCCCATAACCCCCCACAATGCCTACAGTTTTACTTTTGTCATGCCCAGAACTGCCCTTATTTGAGCAACTTGGCATCTTACTCATCTAAGCCCAGTCAGAACCCCAAAAAAAGGGAGGCCTTAGACTCCTCAAAATATACTTAACTGTGTATCAGCAGAATAAGGTACTTTCCAAAATACACTTTCCCAGGAGTGAGTCCAAATGCAGTGGCATGCCTCAGGCAAAAATTTATTTCAGGTTTCTCAGGTGTTGGTTTGAGACTTCTAGCCCTTAGGCTATTGTGAAATGTTTTGTGGCAGCATCACTTGCACATAAAATGAAATCACTCCTGTCTAGAGGCTGTGAGACAGAAGGAATGTGAGAAGAGCTACCCATATCTCCAGCTATAACTAATCCTTGGATTCATGGCACAAACAGGCCAAATACCAAATGTGTACGTGAACCTGCAGCCCTGTATACTCAGGTGAGGGGAACCCGTCTCTATAGGAAAATTCTGATCCAGTGACTTACATTTTAAAATACAGAACCCCTCCAGAAAGTGGGGACAGGATGACCACCATGAATCCTCTAGGACTACAAGTCTTTAAATAATGGAATGAGGAAAACATTGGCCTGCATGCTAATCCTATCCTAATGCTTGTTATCATGCAACAGGGTGAGAACAGTAGCAAGACTGCTAAAAACTCAGTACCAACAGTTTTGGCAGCTAAGGCTTTTATCCAGCAAAACATACAAAACCGTACATAAAATTATGTGTTTAAGAGTTGAACAGAAGACACACAAGCATTGATCTTTCACTCCTAAGCCTCAGGTTTTTAAGTGCTCTGCGTAAGGCAGGCCGTCTCTGTTACCTGACAGCTTTGTTGGTGTTGAAACTATACATAAAGGAAACAGTTTCCCAGGGTTGATTTCAATCTTGCTGACATTGGAATATATCAGGAGTGTTGCTAATACCATAACTGGAATAACTACACAAGTTTAAAACAAAAAGGGGGGTGAGGAGTTGAGAAAGAAGGAGTGTTTGATACCTGAGAAAGACACTCAGTGAGCAGTCATCCGCATTCAAGTCAGTTTCATGACTAATTTTCTGCCAGTTTTTGAGGGATTTTGTTAAATCCCCCTTTTTTTTTTTTTCCCAGTGGTTTCTAGGAATACTACCCATAACAAAACTTTTTCTCCCCTCAAAGTGGAAAAAAATAAATCATAAATTGCACATTGCTCCAGGTTTAGAGAAAGTTTTTAACTAAGGTAATCCTGAGGTTTGAAATTTCAGTAAAAATGTTTTGGAGCTATAAAAAATTCTTTAAATTAGGTATGAAATGCATAAGGCTGGCATGATGAAGAAAGGCAGTGAGGTGGCCAACCAAGGTGGCGTGTAGTCCTGCTTAGCAATTTATCTGGACTACTAAAGACACAGCAAAGCTCCATGAGAAGACTGGCTGGTGTTTCAAAGGCCAGTTTGAGTGTTTACAATTTCTGGTAATTTCTGGCCACCCCTGGATAGTCTATTCATAGTTACTGAGAAGGGGAAGGGAGCCTTTGTACTTTCAGAACATTTCTGCAGGCCTTAACCAGGCTCTTTCCCACTGAGCTATTATTCTTCCTCTGAGTGTAACAGGAGATCCTTGCAGAATTCCTGTGTGCATCCATGCCACAGGAGTTGGTTGCACCTGTGTGCATCCTTGCCACAGGTCTGTGGCTGCTGAGTTAGTGTGTATTTCTCATGCAGCAGGGCTAGAGGCAACGGGCCATGGCTCCATCCCTCTCCATCTCTGCAGATGTAACTTGCTCACTCTTACTGCTTAGTAGTACCCATACCTTTTTCTAAATAGGCTATCCTCTTGATATTCCAGCTCCAGAAAGCACTGCTAAAGTTCATTTCACTTTGTATGCAGCCTATTATGGAATTCATCTCATAAAACTTACAAATTCCACTAGTTTATGATATTATTCTAGCTGCAGTACTGTTGTGTGATTCAGAAATATTTTTTAAAGGGGACTGTGGTTCTGAAAAACTATTCCAGGATCAATTCAGCATTTCAAATTGACAAGTATCTCTCTTATTTCTCTTTTTTTAAAGTCATTCTTGAGATACAGAGTCATATTAAATGATGGATCAAAATGTTCTGATTCATATGGAGGATAGTGACTAATTGAAAAATTTCCTGGATATGAAAACAAAGAACTGTCTTGCAGGTTTTT